CATTCAAATGCGTGTATACTTTTCTATTCCAAGAATTGAAATTGCGATTGAATTGTGCTGAATTATTAGCTGCTACTTATGTTCAAATTTGCAACAGCTCGCGTAAGAAGGGCAGTGGCTGCGTTGGTAGAGGCACCTCTCGGATGCAGCTTGGTCCGGGTTCGAGACCAGAGGAGATGAAATGTTTTTTATTGTTTTATATTATTTATTTATTTTTTTTTTTTAGTTATGAAGTGGCGGTGTTGGTAGAGTTTGTGCACGTTGCGCAAATAATCCGGGTTCGAATCCTGGTCTCGCAATGTCGATTTTTATTTGTTTTCTTTTTTTTTTAATACTCGATACAAACTACGGAAAATATTACAAAACTCAAAGGACTGGGATCAGGGTATCTCCTAGTCGGGCACCCCGACTAGAGCTTTCTTACTTGTTTACTTTGCCATTGTTGCTGCTGCTGCTGTTGTTGTAGTCGTTACTTTTGCTATTTGGTGGCTTACAGCGACGCCCGCTCGATCATGTAATTACTTTGACGATCATACACGGTGGCCGCTTGATGGGCCGCTGACGTCAACGGAAGTCGACGTCGACGCCGCTGTCGAGGCCGCCTCAGAGGCTGTGACTAAAGAGCGCCAGAGCGATAGAGATAGAGAGAGAGAGAATGCAAAATTGCGTGACCCTGCAGCTCTCCCTCGCCCACTCGCTCTCCCTCAGCCTCAGGCTGTGCCTCGCCCTCTCGCTGCTCGTCTCCCACTTCAATCGATTTCTCGCACCATTAGCGGGCGTCATAATTCAAGCGGCCAGCCAACCCCCAAAAACAATCGCTGCGGCGCGACGCCAGCAGCGCTGCCAGCGTCGCTGCTCGCTGCTCGCCGTTCGCGATTAGATATGAGCGGCTGTCAGAGCTATGGCCTGTTCAGCTGACGGATGGCCGCGACTATATACACACACATATATATGAAAACAACAACAACCCAGCCCCACGGCACAGCACTATCCAATAATGATAATGCCCGAGTGTTATGCGAACTATGTTATCATCCAAATTGATCGACAGAGCGAAAATTCCACTTTGCAGCTGATGCTGATTGATGAATGTGCTCAGATGTTGCTTAGGACATAGACATAGATCCACATATATCTTATCAGACATATAGCGGATATGCCCTTAAGCTTAATCTGAATGTTAAATTACAGCAAATGGAACTAAAGTCACGTAGATCACAGAAGAGCAGCAGAGGGGAGTATTCGAGGTGGAATCTTGTGCAGCAGCAGGTATATGTTATGTGTGTAGGGTATCTGCCTGATATCAGATTCAAGTAACATATATATGCCATATATAACAGATCTTTAAGAGAAACCCAGTCTCATATGCGGGTCTCTGGGCTGGAGCTGCAGAGCATTGGCAAGTCGTTGCTTCGTGGGCAAATGTTTATCTTCGTAATTTGTTGTTATTTTTATGGCCTCGGGCACAAGATTTGCCATTATTAATGATCGCTAAGCCAAGCAAAATGGTGCCCAGTGACGTCACGAGCGAGCGCGCGCGCTCGCTGCCTTGACACCCACACACACACACACACACACACACACACACACACACAGAGAGAGACAAGCAGAAAGAGCGCGGGCGAGGCAGGGGGACGGGGCTCTAGGGGTAATCTTTATCTAAAGTAATCAGCGTAGCCCACGCCGCAATGTGCCAAGCCAAAAGCCAGACGAGCCGAGAACTGCGAGGCAGAGGGACCCAGGGCAAGCAGAGACAGCTGCGACGCACGCAGAGCTGGTTAACCAGCTGAACGAACGGCATCTCCGACTCGGAATGCAAAATGATGGCTAGCTAAGCAAATGTTGACCATGTCTCTCGCTCGAACTTTCAACTCTCTCCCTCTCCCTCCTCTCACTCTCTCTTTGCCTACCTTTCTCCCCTAGGCAGCTGATCAAATGTTGCCCGCGTCTAGCCATCTGATCTCCTCTCCAGAAATAAACAATTTTTGCACTTAGCCAACGATCTAGTTACTATCAGATACCAAATATTTGTCGCCTATCTCTTTCGCTCTCTCTCTCTCTCTCTCTGTCTCTTTCTAGCTGGGGAATTGATATCCTCATCTTGTGGCCTGCAGCTCCCGCTTATTCTCTTTCTCTTTCTCTTTCTCTTTCTCTTTCTCTTTCTCTTTCTATTTGTGTTTTATCACTTTTTCTTTTCTGTTCCTCTTCTTTTTCTTTCTCTTTCCCTTTCTCTTTCTCTTTCTCTTCATTCTTTTTTTCTTTTGTTTCTTTTCTCTCTTTATCTTTCCCTATCTGTTTCTCTTCCTACTCTTTTTCTTTCTCATTCTCTTTCCCTTTTTCTTTTTCTTTATCTTTCTCTTTCTATTCTTTTTATTTCTTTTTGTGTTTCTCTTCTTTTGGTTTCTCTTTCCCATTTATTTCTGTTATTTCTCTTTTCTTTTTCTGTTCTTTTTCCTTCCCTTTCTCATTCCTTTTCCCTTCTTTATATTTCCCTCTCTGTTCTCCCTTCTTAAACTTTTCCTTCTTTGTTTCTCTTCTTTATTTTTATCTTCATTTTCTCTTCATTCAGTTTCTCTATCCCTTTTGTGCTTCTCTTCTTTTTCTTTCTCTTTCTGTTCTTTCTCTTTTCCTTTTCTGTTCCGCTTATTTCTCTTTCTCTTTCTCTTTCTCTTTCCCTTTCTATTCTTTCTCTTGCTCTCTCCCCTTTGCTTTCCCTTGCTTTCACTATCTCTCGCTAGGCCCTTCCCCCGCCATCTCTACCTCAGCCCAGAGTTGAGTTCTTCTACCAGGAAATAGGTGTTCCAATGAATACCAGACATTGATATCATAAGTCAACAAGTGGACACGGAAAAGTCTTATCTCTGACGATCTGTCAAGTGTATCAGGAGAATACACAAAGATGATAGATATACAGTTATTTGTACGTTTATATTTACCGTATAACATTTCCATTTCGCTTTCGCGGAATCTTTTATTCCCGCTAGCCTCTCTACAGACCCTCTACCACCCACCCTCCCTCCCTCTCCCTCTCCCTCTCTCTGTAAAGATGTAAAAGCTTCCCCCTGATGTCGCTTGAAGAAACTGCGTTTCATAAAAACAGCCCCGACGTATGCTGAGTATATCTTACAGTTATATCTTATAGTTACATATATAGTCATATATATATAGTTATACGAGTGATATATCTTATGGAGTGGAGCAAGGCATGTTAAGCCCACAAACAGGGGAGGCCGGCACAGCTCAGTCAGCTCAGATCCGGGCATATTCATAAAGCTCATTAAGCGCAGAGCGCGATATGGAAGTGGGACAGACTATAGCCCAGGCAGAGCGCGCTTAAGTATCATAATTAATTATAATTTCCTTATGCTCGTGTCTGGGCTAGATAAGTATGTGGACTTCGAAGCCAGCAAGTGCGAGTTCTGAGTTCAGAGTTCCAAATGAGTAGGGCCTAGGCCGCTCTCTGTGAATCACACGAGACGCATTCCGACTACTTCTTGAGTAATTCGATTCGAGAATTCTTGAAGTAACCTTCAGGAAATCGCAGCATAACTGACGTACGTCTGCTGTACAATTAGTTCTATGTATGTGTATAGGTATATAGAGTTCTTTAGTATATGGTCATGAAATTAGGTCGAATTGCTATGGCGAATTCGTGAGTATTTTTGAAATTCCGTAAATTTTGTTTATGCACGTAGCCGAAGCATTTGCTTTCGAGCCCACTTCAAAGATATTAGCAAAGTGGGCTTAGGCTGAACGCGCAACTGACTGAGAAGAGGGGCACTGCGAGTAGAAGAGATAAGCAGAAGCTCTATTTCATCACTTTTCCCAGCTAGCAGTACGACTCCTACCTATGCTCGATATACGTATCTATATCTATTTGGCTACACAATGCTGTGCGAATAGCTTCACAACTCCCAGACTGAAGAGTGAAGCAACAGCTAATGCCAATATAGATAAAGATGTAGATAGAGTTTACAGTAAGCCCAGATAAGCCAGATAATAACATGTATATATGGAGCAAGATATATATATATATATATCTATGTGTGGCTTCACAATACATGCGTTTGTGTTATGATTTTTATTACGTATAGTTGTATATATATAATCCAAGTTGTTTTCTTTATTTACTTTACACAATACTATATAGTTTGGCTGTTCGCGTCGGTCGGTCTATCTGTCTGGATCTCTTGATATATATATATATATATATATATATATGTATACATATATGGGAGAAATAATACACATATAGGCGCGTTGTATATATCTATAATACTAAAATATACAGAGTTAATCACTAAGATAAGCGTCCGTCGTTGTATGTGTGTGTGTGTGTGTGTGTGTGTGAGGGTGTGTGTTGTGATAGCACCGTTATATATGTAGATATATATATATGTATATAGTTGGTGCCACAACTTTTATCAGCGCGCCCAATTTCAACATCATCATTTGTCGGCGTCGAGTCATAAGATACAAAAAAAAAAAAAAAAAAAAAAAAAGCAGTTTATATATATGTACATACATACATACACACACTATATGCTATAGGTATATACTAAAACCCGTCCACGGCAATGGAATCTTGCTTGGCGATAAGATAAGCAGCAAATTAATTACCCGCACTCACTTACGCCCCCCCTCCCCCTCCCTCACCACCCTTGCACTTCTGTAACTCTAATATCTCGAACTCTCTCTATATCATAAAAAAATCATTTATATACATACACACGCACACATGGGTGTGTGTATGTGCCTACCGTAGATATACTAACTTTAAACAACAACGAAATAGTGCACAGCGCGCACACACACCACGCCCCCACCTGCCGCGGCCCGCCCCTTGTCAATCACCCCTTCCCCAGTCCCACACACTCCCCTCCTTCTTCCTCCCCTGCGTTGACTGTCTTTTAATCTTAATTGAGATTTCCTATAATTGTGACGCTGCCGTCGCTGCCATCGTCGCCGCCGTCGCTGCAGCGCTGCCTGCTGCTGCCTACCTTCTTAGTGCCATCGCCGAGCTGCGTGGCAGCCAAAAGCTCGCTCAGCTGACGCTCTCGCTCTCGCTCTTGATCACGCTCCTGCTGCTGCTGCTGCTGCTGTTGCTGCTGCTGCTGATCCAACTGCAACTGCTCGATGTCTATGTCCTCGTCGTCGCCGCCGCTCAGCTCGCCGCTGCTGCTGTGACTCGATTTGCGGGCAAGAGCAACGCGTACGCCGTTCACAATGCACTCGCCGCCGTCCAGCGCCGAGATGGTGGAGCCGCAGTAATACAAGTTGCTGCAGCTGCTCGCCGCGCTCACATCCGACTGACCTTCATCCTTGGAGCCGCCGATGGTGCCGGCGGCAGCGGCACTCGCTTCCAGCGAACAGCGACGCTGGCAGCGTGCGCGCTGCAGGCGAAAATACTCCATCTCCTCCATGCTGATGCCGCATGCCGTTATATCATCCGAATAGTCCGACACGACCACCGAGGGCGTTCGCACGTAACGCACGCCAGCCATGCCGCCCAGCTCGCTGACGCAGCTTTGCGTGGACTCGCGACGTGAACCGGGCGGCGCTGCTAGCGCCGCAACGACGCGCTCCTCCAGCAGCACTTTTGTTGGCACGCCCGCGCCCACACCTACGCCTCCGACCACGCCCATGCCCATGCCGAGCGCAGCGGTGGCGCTGGTCGGCGAGGTTAGCGGCGAGTCTGGCAATGCTGTGGGCTCGGCCAATGGCAGCAGAGCCGGCCGTAACGGTAAATCGGTAACTGTCAATGTCATGCGTCGCTGCGGCGACGGCAGCGCCTCCATGTTCACATCGTCCACTTCCAGGCCCAGCGCTGAGTCGCTGCTCGCACAGCGCGTCACTTTCGGCTTGCGCCGGGCGACAGCGTCGCACTCATTGTCGCTGCTGCACGGACTGATGCCGCCCGCATTGCAGCCTTCGTCCGAATTGGCAGCGCTGCTCGCGATTACAGTTGGCTTCAGCTGGCCTGGCGCCTCCGTTGTTGGCTGCTGCACGATCATTGCCTGAAACTTATCAATAAGCTGCTGTATGGGCGTCTTGGAATCAAGCGCTTCACTTTGAAGTTGCTGCGGCTGAGGTTCCCGTTGTTGTTGCTGCTGCTGCTGCGCTGTTAAAGCGTTAAAATCCTGGAAAAAAGCTGCACGCAGTTGCGCCTTGTGCTTAGCGAGTCGAAGCTGTCGTTCACATGGAATGGCACACAGAGTTGATGTTTCAATTTCTATTGTTTCGCTCTCTTTTGGCAAAGCTTCTCCTTCTTCTTGTTGTTCGTCTATTGGTGCTGGTGCTGGTACTGCGACTGTTTTCTGTTCGAGGCGTGCGCAACGCTTCGCTGCTCTCAGATAACTAAAAGTCGTTGGCGCTGCCGTCGCGCATTTATTTTGAGCGTTAACCGTTGTCAGCGCCGTCAACGCTGTTGTCGTTGTCGTTGCCGTTGTCGCTGATGCCGGCGTCGCAGTCATTATCTTGAGCATTGAATCGGTTTCGGTTTCGGTTTCGGTTTTGGTTTCGGTTACGATTTTAGTTTCGGTCGCGGCGGCGGCGTCGGCGGCATTTTGTTGACCATCGCGGCGCGTACCCATCGCTGTCGGCGTCAGCGTTAACGTCGGCGTCCCGTGCGTTATAAACTCGAGCTTTCGATTTGACCGCGTCCGCGCAACTCAAATTCAAATGACACCTGCCGCTGCCGTCGCTTAACTGTCGCTCTGACTATAAACACGGTCTTCAACTGCGGCGCTAACGGCGACAGCGACAGCGACGGCGACGGCAACTGCGACAGCGGCAGCGTGACGCTGGTAATGATGTTGCTGCCGTGGCTGCGGTTGCAGCTGCTGATGCTGATGCTGCTGCTGCTGCTGGTGCTGCTGTTGATGATGGAGAAGTTGTTGCCACTGGCGCTGATGGCGTTTATCCCGTTCTATTGAATTTTCGTACTTGCTCATTGCCCGCTTACGCGACCGCGACCGCTGCGGCTCTCAGTGACGCTGACTGTTTGGATGCGGCCGCTGCGGCTATCGCTGCTGCTGCTGCTGCTGCTGCTACTGCTACTGTTATTGCTGGCTGCAATTGTAAGCAGAATTGAAATTGGAATTGTGTGTGATCTTGAAACGTTGACGCAATGTGCAATGATCCCGCACACACACACACATATTTATATATATTACCACAAGCAAACAAGCAAATACACGCACACACTTATTGCTGCTTATTTATTTATTTATACTCGTATTTCGTTTTTGTTGCTGCGCTCCAATTGCTTTGCTAGTTTTCTTAACTTGAGCGCGTAATTGCATTTAAGCACAAAAAACACAAACACAAACACATGCACATGCACATGCAAACACACACATATAGACACAGACAAGGAGACGCATACATGCACAGCGACTGACAGACTGACAGACGTCGTGTTCTCATATGCTGACGCACAGTGGATCACGCTCTTATTTTGTAGCTCATATAATTTTACATTGTTGCGTTCAGCATTAATTAACGATATTCGCGAAGTGACGTATGGAATGTGACTCAAACATCATTCAAGATAAATACAATGAGTTTCAATAGCAAAAAGTAGAAAGTTTTTGCTGAAATAAATCACACTTATTACGAACTGCAGTAAAAAAAACACTTAGAATATAACTGTAAAACAAACGCTGAGAGTCATCTTCATATATAATATAAGTTTACATAAGTTTTAAATTTATATACATTACGAAATGACTCGAGAATATGATTTTTGTACTTATTATCTATTGATACGTAGGGCTATATAATATTATCTTCAAATGAGACAAATCGCCATTATCTAAAGTATTATCTGCTTTTTATATACAGTCAGAACTGATAGTCATCCATTTGGCATTCCCAGTCTGTTTAACGGAGTTCAGTCCATGGCTAGGGAAGAGATGGTGCAAAAGAAAGCTTTTGCCCATGGGCAATCGGGGCGACAATCGCAATGACAGTGATCGATAACATGTTGCTAAAGGGGAGGTAATGTCATCTCAATATCAATTTCACCAGCTATTCACGGGCGGTGGCCCATTGTGATTCGTTGCGCACTTTGTTCGCGTCGCGCTGGCTATGACGTCAGTGGCAGGGACCGACATTGACGACGGCGTGACGCGCATTTATTTGTCAGACGCAGACGCAGCCGCGGCCAGCGACCAAGCAAATCGGCCACAGAAAGAACAAGAGAGAGAGAGAGAGACAAAGGAGGAGAAAACAAAGGCAAAAATGCAAACATAAATATAAATATATAACACATACATAATGCCAAGAGCATAAAAATGTAAGCTGTGTATGTGTGTTTTTTGTTTTAACACTTCCGATCAGTCATGCAACCTGTGGGCGGCATCGGCTGCGACGTATACTTGACTGCAGAAGTGCCGCCCCATTGAGCGGCATAAATATTGAAGAAAAAACACAATTAAGAGACGACAACAGCAAACAGAACAAGCTAAGTGCAATTTTTGACAAGACGTTGACGTCGCTGCTGACGCTGATGTGACGCCGATTGCCACCGTCCCGTTGTCTCGCTGCGAAATGGAAACCACTTTAGGTAACACACCTGCGATAGACGTCGATCTGTATGTATTGGCAATTATGTATGTGTGTGTGTGATGTATGTTTGTATTTGTGTTTCGCTTGAACGGCGAATTGCATTGCGTCAATGCAATTGACGAAATGGCAGGCACTAAGAAAACTGAAGGATAACATATGTGCGCTCTTCTACGCTCTTATATACTCAATCTCTCTCTCACTCTCTGTCTCTCTCTCTCTCTCTTATACTTTGCTGCTGGCCCAGTAACCGATTAAAGTTAACTTTCAATGAAACGCTTCCACAATGATTATTGCTGAGAGCGAGGGGCGCGCAAGCACACATGCATGTATGTATGAGTGTATGTATGGATTTATGCATAAGTGTATACATCTATTTCACACTTTAGCCTTAACTTTATGTTTATTGCACACGAAAATGGCCAGAGCAAGCGTTTGACGCGCACACGCACGCGCACATTGTGCGCTCGGCGTTTATCGTTGCCAGGGCTGGGTCGCTTGCTCGTTCGCTCACTCTTAGGCAAATTAGGCATTAGCAAATACGGCAGCCATATAAACATTACTTGTGACTTGTAACTATATACTTGTGGTTTATATCAAGTGTGCAGTTGCCTATAATATTTGACAGGCAATTAATGTGAACTTAAATTGTTTGCGGTTGCGGTAAAAACCGGGTTGTACAACTGCTGCAACGGCCCTGGTTGTTGCATGCATTGCATTTTCCCATGCGCTGACATTGATCAATTGCAAACACTTTAAAGCCTGTCTCTGCCAGTGTGTGTGTGTATGTGCTTAGATATTGAATTTAGCAGCTGTTTAAAACACATGCAAATTACATTTTAACTCTTTTAGCTTTTTGGCTCGCAGCTTTTTCTTTTGCGTTTTGCCGTTTCGTTTTGATTGCTTTTCTTCGTTGTTGTTTTTGCTATTTAGTTTTATTTATTTTTTTCTATATATTTTTTTCGTTTTTGTAACGGTCGGCAACACGTTTGACGCGTACGTTGACGAGCGAGCGTGCGGACAAGAGAACGCGACGTTGGCGGCGCTTGCTTCGCGTTTCACTGTGCGCAAGCAACTGTTTTCTTTTTTTCTTTTTTTTTTATTTATTTTTTTTCGTTCCGACTTAAGCTCGAACAGACTCAAATTCTCACACATCGATTCAGCGGGCCACGCGGGGGCTGGGGCGTGGTTCACTGGAGGCTTGCCCGCCGTTTAAGCTGCTCTGCTCTGCTCGACTCGGCTCGTCTCGACTCAGCTTAGCTCTGCTTCTGCTCTGCGCCGCTAGCTAATAAACTAGGCTGGCTTTTGTTACTGATGCACAAATACTAGCGCACACATACGAATATCATTTATAGCTTACACACACACATTGAAGCGCACACATGTTATTTATTTTGGGCGCGCATTTTGGCTAGTTAAATATTAATTTTAATTCATTGAACGCACACTTCGCACTCTGCTGTCAATTGCCTATTTTCATATACAAATATATATATACATACATATATATTTATGTGTATATATATGCATATTATTTGACTTTTCTATTTGCTTTAACACTTCTTTTCGCATGTTACTGTTAAATTGAGCATGTTTATTTTACTATGTTCCTAGTGAAACTAGCTGTTAATTGACAGCTCGACAGACCGTTATAAACGGATCCCCATCTTGTCAGCTTATAGGCGCAGCATTGCCAGCTTTCTAAAATAAAAGCATTGCCAACTTATAGGCTGAGCGTTGCCGACCGCAAGGCGCAAATTGCTTATGATCTAAGATAAGTCTTCCTAAATTCATAAATTTTGCATTCTAAATTTATAAAATAAACTTTTAAAGTAAGCAAAAAACTTGTGGCTTAAACAAATGTTATCTTTTTATTTTGCATTAAAAACACAACTTGAAAAATTTACATTCAGTGTTAAAAGTTAAGAGCTATGAATTACAAAATATAGCCATAATGCTGCTTGTCTGTATGCATGCTTGTATGCTTGTATGTGTGTGTGTGTGTGTGTGTGTGTGTGTCTGTGTGTATGTGGATGTGGGTGTGTGTATATTTGTTTTTAACCTGAGTAAAAGTCCAGTTAAATGCGAAGCGCTGGAGTTGCATACTTGCACTGAACTGGACCGTAATGAAATGGAGAAGGACAAGGAGGAGTAGGATTATAGAAAAAAAATGTCATTACATATAATAAATCAAGTGTTCTACATATAAAGAAACAATTTTCAGTTTGCTAAAGAAAAACAACTTTGTCAGTTTCAACGATGGCGTCGGTCCCGTTCCCGTTCCCGCTCACGGTCACGATCGCGCTCCCTTTCTCTGTCCCTGTCTCTATCTCTATCCCGCTCTCGCTCTCTATCCTTGTCCTTCTCCCGTTCATCGGGGTGATCGTTGTACCGATGCCGGGTGCCACGCTCCTCGCGTTTCCGATCGTGGCGATGACGGGCACGGCTGGCGCTGCGACTCTTGCTGCGGCTGCGACTGCGCGAGTTTTGCCTGTGCTTGTGCTTTTTCTTGTGCTTGCTGCTGCGACGACGCTCGACTCGATCACCACGTTCGCCACGGTCACCATAGTCCTTTTCCCGCTCGGAATTTCCATACGGAAGCATCGACGACGCTGGCGCCGGCGGTGGGTAGTCCTCGTAGCAACGACTGCGTCCATACGAAGAGCCAGATGCTTGCGTTGCATAATAGTCGCGATCGTCATGATCATTACGATAGTTGACCGGCGGGTAGGCACCTCCGCCTCCTACACCGGAACGTGCCACAGCATGTCCACGCCCACTTCCGCTGCCGCTTCCGCCGTCATAGTCATCACAGCCCGTGGCAACGGCTGCGGTAGAGCCTGGCGCAGCTGCTGCCACAGCGTTGCCTCGTCCCGTGCTCAGCTGGTTGATCGTCATGCCCTGCTCCCGGCAATATTGTTCAATCCTCTTCTCAATCTGCTTCTGTATGGGCACGGGTATGCGCGGAAAGAGCGTGGAGAACCAGTCCAACTTGGTCATGAACTGATACACCATCTGGCCAATAGTTAACACCTGGGCATAAGCCGAGAAACGAGTAGAAAATGTGGTTTAGTTGAATGTAGGCGCAATGACAAAATAGAAAAGGTACGTTGTGCATATTGATTGGTGGCTCATACAGTTGACTCACCTGGCCGCCGCCCGCTTTGACATCGATCTCCTCTTCGTCCTGCAGATAGTCCTCGTACCAGTCATACAAATCTCCTGGCGGCTGCGTATACCGTAAGTACATAAAACCTGAAGATAATTTTAAATAAATACCCAATCCAAAGATACATATTAGTGGACAAACACAAGTCATTTGCATATGGAAGGCTAGTACGCAGCTAACGTGATAAAAAATATGAAATCTATTTTAATTTTAAAATTAAAACTTCATATCATTCTTGAATTTCTAGATCTTTAGTTAAAGTTTGTAATATGCAAAAATATTATCGATGATTTAAAAATTTAATAAAATTTGAAATAATTATATCACTTATATATAACAATATATGGAGTACATTTGTTTATTACGAAGATCAAATTTGTTAGCTATTCGCAACATTTCAGCAGTTTCAGTTTAGGCAGGCTACACTGTACATCATGGATAGATAGACAGACATGGTTATAATGTAACTTTGACATATTTCAATAAACGCACGGACTCAACGTATATGGTACCATGGTATTAAGATGCATATCTCTTATTTCTAAAAATAAACATAAATTCATTTTAAGGATGTCTAGGAATGCCATACCATGTGTCCAATATAAAGTTAATATACGTCTAAGCTCACCTAATTGCAACCACACCATCATAATTAATATTTCATACACAAGCAAGATCTGAATATTCAAACAATAATTTCCCTAGACGATTTCGCTGGAAGTTATCATATAAGCTGCGTATTAACCTAGTCAGAAAGAGGGAGAATAAGACAGAGACGCGGGCGGAGCAGGAGCAAGCAACGAGTGAGACACGGCTGAACTCATGCGACTTACCAACCACCTACCTAGTGCCCGAATGTAGGCTGAGTCTGTATGGTTGAGTAGTCCATTCACTTGTTTGCGGGTCAGACGCAGCGTGTAAAGCTTGTAGAGCAGACAGTAGGCGGTGGATACGATGCCGCCGGCGCCAACACCGCGTACCTGCAAAGCAAAAGTATTAGCATCTTGGTACACTTATCACTTTAATCAACGGATTAAATATTATCGCCAACGATTAGCGCTACATTTCATAAACTCACACCGCCGCACATGCCCGTCTGGCCGGAGGTTTTGCGCGAGCCTCGCTCCCAGGGCTCCATGTGCTTAACTTGGTAGTAGATCTCGTCGACGACCTCATGGTACGTTTTCAGCTTGAATAGATGCACTGTACGGGCGAATGCAACAACAATTTATTTTTCTCTCTTCTCTTTTTTTGGCGGGTAAATTTTTGTTACTTCGCTGCTTACCTTTGAAGTAGCTGGAACTTTGTATGTTAGCCAAAATTAGGGGATTGAGGTTCATGGATGTCTCATTGCCCCATAATGGAAGCGTGTTATGCTGTTTGCCAACACCGGCCTTTTTACCGCCGCCGCCACCGGCCGAAGACGCCGTTGAATATTCTGATAGAGCAACAGCAAGCGAGCATTGAAGACGCCGCGAAAGAGAGACAGGAAGATATACACACAAATATAGTTGGATTTAATAGAAATGTTGAGGCGAAGTGGAATGCCCGGGACGGGTGCACACTACCTTACCTTCGTCCATGACTCCACTTCAGTTTTTACTGTTTGAATTGTGCATTAATTTTGCACATTTAAGTGACTTTTTGGCCGAGCAATCGCAATTTGCAAACGTTTGCGTACAGTGAAAATGCCAATGAGTGTCGGTCAGCGAGATTAGGGATGTTAGGCAGGCAAGTCGATAAATTTGAGCATGTGAAATATCGATATGCGTGAAATCTCGTTCAAGTGCTCATAGCTAACTATTTTATATGAAATCTTATGAACTGAGCAGGGCTTTAGCTTGAATGACAAGTCAATAAGCAATTTAATAAAAATATACACCCAAAAACCAAAGTTCATTAATTATTTATTAATATCGATGTGGTGTTATGAGATGTTCACTGGCTCTCGCATAGCGATATTTACATAAGAATGCACTTTGTTCATTTGAAGTTGTAACTCAATTGGAACATACGGATCTTATATTGGCCTTTACTTACTAACTTAACTATTTCCCATATTGTATAATAATATAAAGAAGAAAACGTTCGTTATTGAAATAGAAAATTATTTTATTAGGTAACAATTGCTAAAATTATATTACTTTGCATGAATTTGTACTTATCGAAATTTTCGCGCGTTTTTTGAAACGATGTATTAAGGCATATCGATAAGTGCGCGTGAGTTTCTGAACGACTTATTAGGTGACCGTACAATCGAACTAGCTCAGAACTTGAACTTATCGACTCTAAAATATACGCAACGCAGCTGCAGAAGAAGCAGCAGAGTTAGCAGCAGCAGCAGCAGCAGCAGAATCGGCAGTAGAAGAAGAAACAGCATCCGCGGACTGCGTTTTAATCAATTAAAAGTCGTGCGAGTGAAAAAATGCAGCCGCTGGCTGCCAGCAGCAGCCGTTACCTCTCAGCTGGTACTGTTTGTGCTTGTACATTTAGATGTGGAAGCGGATACGAACGTGGGTGTCAACCAGTGTCAATCGAGCAAATTCTGAACGCAAGCGCAAAACAAACAACTGGCCAAAACTAATAATCAAAGCAAAAATAGCAAAAGCAACAGCAACAAAGTTCAGGGTCAGGGTCATGGTCAGGCAGCTGTAGGAGTTTAGGTGTTAAAGTTGCTAAACGAATCACCTGGACACAGGTGACCGCCATCAGGAATCGTCGCCATGTCGACCGATTCATCTGCTGAGAGCGACAGCGAAGTCTACGATCCGCTTGCCGATGAGCTTCACAATGTCCAACTGGTGATCCATGTGACAAGGGAGAACATCGATGCTTTGAATGCTAAATTTGCCAATCTTCAAGAGCCGCCAGCTATGTACTTAACAGGTGGATTCTCAATATTAAATGCATTTGCACAATTGCTTACTGTCTCGTCTCGTCTTTTCCATAGAATACCAGGAGCTGACGTCCAAGCTGCACGAACTAAAAGCCAAGGAGCATGAGTTAATGGAGCAACTGAATGCCCTGCAACAGGATGACGATTCCAAAAGCCAAAGCCAAAGCGAGGCAAAGCAACAACAGCAGCAGCAGCAGCAATCGAATACGGATCGCACCGATCAGCCGCATTATCAAAACCAGACGCAAATCTTGCAGCAACAGCGTCAGCTGGCCAGACACGCTCACGAGCTGAACGACTCGGGATCGGGGAGCCAATGTGGCACTTTAACCCGCCAGCCAAAGGTGCTGCTGCGTGCCCATTTGCCCAATCAGCAGCGCACCTCCGTCGAGGTGGTGGCTGGCACTCGTCTGTGCGATGCGCTGATGAAGGCGCTAACTCTCCGCCAGCTGGAGCCGTTCATGTGCGAGGTGAGCACGACGCCGCATAGCGGCCGACATATCATACCGTGGAACACGGATATTGGCACTCTCCATGTGGAGGAGATCTACGTGCGGCTGCTGGACAAGTTCCCGTTGGGGCCGCACATCAAGCATCAGTTTATACGCAAAACGTTCTTCTCGATCGCCTTCTGCGAGGGCTGTCGCCGGCTGCTCTTCACGGGCTTCTACTGCAGCCAGTGCAACTTCCGATTCCATCAACGTTGCGCCGGACGGGTGCCCATGCTCTGCCAGCCCTTCTCCGTGGACAGTTACTATGAGCGGCTGCTGTCGTCGTATCCAGAAAATTCGGTGGGTTTGCCCGTGGGTCGCAGCAATGCTGTGCGCTTCAATGTGAGTAGCCGTCGTTGCAGCAGCAGCGGCAGCAGCAGCACCGCCACGACCACAACAACAACAACAACCAACAACAGCAGCTCTAAACCTTCTGCCAACCGACAGGGCCGACCACCGCGCATCAGCCAGGATGACCGCTCCAACTCGGCGCCCAATGTCTGCATCAACAGCATCCGACCGCTGACCAACGACACGCAGCGCAGCCTCATCATGCAAGCCCGGCCCCCTTTGCCGGTAAGTGTACGCCAGACTCCCGGACGTGACTAACAGTCCCAGCTGGATATCTGCATAGCTGTTACCTAACTATACATAGTCCAACTGACTATGACTCAGCTCCTGCTACTTACTAAGGGGCTGCAGATGGATTTCCATTAACTAATTGATCATTGCTTGTTGAGCGTCCAAAAAGACTTCGCAGCAACGATTATGAAAAGCTGACCGACTGACTGGACGCCAGATGGATATAGTAAGTGATAAATATCTATATAGGGCTAACTGCTTGAAGGACTTCTGAGGATTGAATAGCCCTTTCAGGCTAGAAAGTCTAGTATTTCCTCTTTCTAAGCGTAGACTTGGGGGTTATCGAAAGAGTTCAGACCTCTGCATATAGCTGAAAGTGAATCGTACTCTCTTCCACATGCAAGCGTGGAATATAGGTGATATATTAGTTTTCGAACAAACTGGGTGGAAAGTTGGTAGGAATCGCAGCTGTTGTGGAGCAAACTAGAGAGCAGATTACACTCACTTGGATCAGTTGTTTGGATCAGTTAACTAACGCACATGAATTTTGTTTTTTATGTTTTATGCTGCTCGCTTTTTGGTTTTGTTCCGCGCTCCTCTCTCTCTCCCTCCCTCTCTCTCTCTCTTTTTGTTTCGTTCTCCTCTGTTTTACCCATTGCAGCATCCGTGCACGGATCATTCGAACTCGACGCAGTCGTCGCCCACCAGCACGCTGAAGCATAATAGACCCCGTGCCAGGTCCGCAGATGAGAGCAACAAGAATCTGCTCTCACGTGATGCCAAGAACTCGGAGGAGAACTGGGTGAGCTGCACTAGCAACACTGGCAAAGCCTAGATCATAATCTCATTTCGATCTCCATATAGAACATACAAGCAGAGGAGATCTTGATCGGGCCGCGCATCGGCTCGGGCTCGTTTGGAACAGTCTATCGCGCCCATTGGCATGGACCCGTTGCAGTGAAGACGCTCAAGGTGAAGACGCCGAGTCCGGCCCAGCTGCAGGCGTTCAAGAACGAGGTGGCCATGCTGAAGAAGACGCGCCACTGCAACATTCTCCTGTTCATGGGCTGCGTCTCGAAGCCATCGCTGGCCATAGTCACCCAGTGGTGTGAGGGCAGCAGCCTCTACAAGCACGTCCACGTCAACGAGACGAAGTTCAAGCTGAACACGCTCATCGACATTGGCAGGCAGGTGGCACAGGGCATGGACTATCTGCATGCCAAGAACATAATACACAGGTGAGTCGATGGGCTGGAGATTGCATAATAGACGAAGATTGTTGACTTGATGCTCCACGCACAGGGATCTCAAGACGAACAACATTTTCCTGCACGAGGATCTGTCCGTGAAGATTGGCGATTTCGGCTTGGCCACCGCCAAGACACGCTGGTCGGGCGAGAAGCAAGCGAATCAGCCAACGGGCAGCATTTTGTGGATGGCGCCAGAGGTGATACGTATGCAGGAGCAGAATCCCTATTCGTTTCAATCGGATGTCTATGCGTTTGGCATAGTCATGTACGAGCTGCTGGCAGAGTGCCTGCCCTACCGCAACATTAGCAACAAGGATCAGATTTTGTTTATGGTCGGGCGTGGTCTGCTTCATCCTGATATGACCCAAGTGCGATCAGATGCACCGCAGGCGCTGAAACGTCTCTCCGAGGATTGCATCAAATACAATCCCAAGGAGCGTCCACTCTTTCGGCCTCTGCTTAATATGCTGGAGAACATGCTGCGTACATTACCCAAGATACATCGCAGCGCCAGCGAGCCCAACCTAACCCAATCCCAGCTGCAAAACGACGATTTTCTCTACATGTGCCCCAGTCCCAAGACCCCGGTCAACTACAATAACTTTCAGTTTTACAACAGCGCGGGCAATATCTAAAGCCGGCTCAGGGAGTAGCAGAAGGAGACGGATCTTCTGAACAAGAGGATGGTGAAGAAGGATGAGGAGGAAGAGGAGGAGGAGGAGGCTGTACCTGTACTTACTATGAATGGAAGGCATGAAACAAATGTTTTGGGTCGAGCAGGCCACACTAAACAAGAGAGGAACGAGAGCAGAAATAAGGAACCTGAACGTGAGCAGGACAAGAGTTTAGCTCTCTCTCCCTCTCTCTCTCTTTCGTTTTCTCTTGTAGCAGCTCTGTTGCTTCACTTTGAGCTCAGCCTGAAGCAACTGAACGAGAGAGAGTTCTGTCAACGGAGTGAGAGCGAGACAAGTGATTTGCTGTCTTTCTCTCCCCGACAGCTGCTCGGCCTGGAGCAACTTCTAATGTGCATTTCTGTTATCAATTAAACAAACGCAAAAACAACCACAACTATTATTGTAAACTAACTAAAGTGAAACGCGCATATGTACATACATCTAAATATATATATACACATACAGAGAAACACACGCACACACATACACGCATACACATACATACGTTAGGCATCTACTACTAAAACGAAAAATAATAAGAAAACTACATTATAAACAATATACTACTTATTACTATAACGAAAAATCATGTTTTATTTATTTATATATATTTTTGTACACACACATGAAAAACCGCATGAATTGGTCAGCTAAACGTAACGACTGGCTATGGCCAGGACTTTCGTATAGTCCGCACCTTTGGCTAGCGTCTTCTCCTTGAGTATGGTCCGCAGGACCGTGGGAATTGGCACGTGGATGCGTGTGCCCAGCGGCGAGCCGTTGTCATCGATGAGCACCAAGTTGTTGCTGTCGAATTGGGGCTGCTTCATGCGCTGCTTCTGCTTGAGACCGACGAGGATGCCCTTCTTCATCTGTCCTTTGATGGCCACCAGCACCTTGTCGCCGATTAGGCCAATGCCCCGCTTGTTGTACACATGAATGCATCTGGGCGGCCGGCCCTCGGCCATGGCACGCTTGCCCAGGTCGCTGTTATCCACCACGCGCAGTCGAGCGAGTTTCCTAATCTCGCAGCATGCCGGCGTTGTGTGCAGCTGACAATTGCCGGGCTCGGCACTTGTGGCTAGGATGGAGCTGCTGTTGCTGCTTTTTGTTAACAGCGCCGCATTGCCGGCTCGTGCGAAGTTCCTCAGAAGAATTTGGGCCATTTGCTCCAAAAGTTTTTAACTTGCCCGTTGCTGATTTTCAGCACAACAAATGAAATTATACAATGTCTATCGATATATCGATGCTATCGGGCAAGACAGCACTGTAAAAGCGGAACGTGTATTGCGCAGCTATCGATAAGTTTTCATTTTATACGATAGTCAATTGTGACGTCACCAGTGTACATTTTGAGCGCACTTTTTGAATGTGCCTGCAATTTTATTAATTTTCTTTTTCTATGCAAACTCGTGCCTATTAGCTGTACACTAAAAGCTCTTAATGTTCTGATGCAATTGCCAATTACAACGCAAATACAATACATTTTCAAGAGCTGTAGCTAAAACACATATTTCCATCAGAGCTGGATGGCATTTGCTTAAGTAACAAGTATAAATCATAATAACTAACTTTCGCTTAGTAATAATTGCCTTGGTAAGCGGTAAATAGCAATTAATATAATTGAAAATTAATAAATTTAAACTTTAAGTTGGCGCGAAAGGATGTTGTCATCGTTGTTTTCAAATGTGCGCAGAACGATGCGGTATGGAAACTGCATAATCCTTTCGATATTCATTGATTGCACAGAATATCGATGATTATTGCAGGCAGTGCTGCCAATCGGCGCGCTGTGCTGCCCACAGAATTAATTCAAATTTGATATTTCAAAATTCATTTTTCTTGTCATTTTATGCGTTTTATTTATTAATGTATCAATAAAATATGCGCTTTAAGCGCACAGTACATATATGTTTATGGGTTCGCGTGTAGTATGTGTGTGCGTGTGTCTGTGTGTGCGCGTATGTATTAAATATAATTTATAAGCATAATTAACGCTTCAATTCATTCGCGCGCTTTGCTTTTTGTGCTATTTATTTTTGCTTAAATTTTATGATTAACTTTTGTTATAGTTGCATTTGTTTTTGTTTTTGTTTTTTGACACGACTAAGTAGACCAGTCCCATTGGTTAGAAAATTGGTTACTATAATTCACTATGATATACAGAATATGATATAGGCAAATAACGTTTACATCCATTTGCTCTTTCCTCTCGCATTTCTTGGGTTTCTTTTGTTTTTGGGTTCTTGTGAGCTTAGAGCTAAAACAAAGTATTTTTGTAAAAAAAAATAGAGCCATACAATTACATAGTTCATAACAAATATTAAGAATAGTTAAAAAAATTGATTATATATATATAGTTATATATATGTTTGTATTGGTATTCAAAAGCGCGCCAAACAACAAAGATTGTTACTAATATATGAAAAAAATAAAAATAAAATATATATTGTTTGGACTTCAATGTACAAGATCTGCATGCGCACTTGTTAATTATTTACATTTACACAAAATCATAAAATGTATAAATTAGGACAAAAGCAAACGAAATAAAAGTTGCAAATGAAAATCAAAAATCGAAATCGAAAATCGAAAACAAAAAAAATTAAGTTGAAAACTTTTTCAAGTAATTTGCGCCATTCGCTTTGTGCATGTCGTTTCGGTATTCTCTATGCTGCTGCTGCTGCTTCCTCTTCCTCGCTCAGGCACGATTCAGCTCCTCGCGCTTAAAGTTTCGTATCGCCTCCAGCAGCTGATCGCGCGGATCTGCCGCCGGCAACGCTACCTTCGATTTGGGCATCGCCTTTGCCTTGCTCAACATGGGGGGTGGCGGCGGCGGCGAGGGAGTAGCAGTGGCAGTGGGCGAGGGCGTGGCCGTAGGCGTGGCTACGGATCTGCTAGCCATGAAACTGATGGGTCGCAGCTTGACTTGCAGCGCAGCCGGCGCTGGCTTTGGTTCAGCTGTTTCTAGCTTCAGCTCCACTTTGCTGCTTCTCAGCTTTGTCGTCGATGTCGACGTCGACGTCGACGTCAGCGTCGCTGGCTTTACTGTTATCGATGTTGGCGTCGCTGGCTTCGCTGCTGTCGGCGTCGCTGGCTTCACTGCTGTCGACGTTGGCGTCGGCGTCGGCGTCGCTGGCTTCACTGTTATCGATGACGGCGTCGCTGTTGGCGTCGCTGGCTTCACTGCTATCGACGTCGACGTCGCTGTCTTTATTGCTATCGACGTCGGCGTCGTTGGCTTTACTGCTGTCGACGTTGGCATCGGCGTCGGCGTCGCTGGCTTTACAGATGTCGCTGCCGCAGTCGCTGCTGGCACTGGTGCTGCATTTGTTGTTGTTGTGCTCATTCCGTTCACAGAGACAGAGACGCGCACGTTCAGCGCCTGCTCGTGCTCCTGCTGCTCCTTGGCCAACATGCGCTCCTTGAATCCCGTGCGCCTCAGCGTATTCTGACCAAAAGGTGCTGCCACCGGCTCCACTGGCGTCGCAGTCGTCGCTGCCTTTCCCAGCGTCGAATTGGGTCGGGGCAGTGAGTTGGTTGTCCCGCTGACGCTGCTGCTGCTCTGCACTTGAACGCTGGCGGGCAGCGTAAAGCGATTGCTCTTCGACGGCCGTGGCAGCGTGGAGGGCTTGACTAGGAGCTCCTGCTGCATGGCTGGCTTCTCCTGTTCCGGCTCATGCTGCTCCCTCTCGCGCTCCTGGCTGGCATCGCGCAGCGGCTTGACCGTGATGGGCACGTGGTACTCTTTGCGCGGAATGCCCATGCGCAGCACAGGCGAGGCCACCTCAATGGTCAGCTTGACGGGTGCCGTGGCGGGCCTCGGTGTTGCTTCTGCTCTGGCGCCGCCATAGATGTAGTCGCCCTCGTTTTTGATGGCCACCTGCGACTTGGGACGCTCGCTCCATGTGGCAAAGTTAATGCTGGGCGGGCCGGAGTAGCGATATGTCTGTGGCAGCGGTTTGGGCGCTGGATCTGGCGCCAACTCTGGCTCTGGCTCTGGCTCAGGCTCAGGCTCAGGCTCCGGCTCTGTTGTGGCTTCCTGCAGAGAGTCCTTGCGAGCCGATGCTATGGGTAAAGCTGCCTGGGCATAAGCTGCAGCTGGCGACACAGTTGGGGTTAGCGAAGCGGACACAGGCATCTCCATGGTTGACGTAGCCACAGGCTGATCTAGGGACACCTTTGTAGCTATAGCTGGCGACACGACTGTGCTAACAGGCGTCGCCTTCTTGGCAGGCTCAGCTGTGGCCACGTTTGATGTAAAGCCAGTTGCGGACACGTTTGCAGCTTTAGATGGGGACGCGACTGTTTGAACAGGCATGGACTCTGGCTCAGCCACAGGCACAGGCACAGCTGTGGACGCCGCTTTAGATACAGATGTGGTCACAGATGTGTGCTCGTTCGCAGTGGACACGACTGTGCTGACAGGCACTGCTGTTGGTGTTGTTGTGGCTGCAGCTGTGTGGGACTTCACTGTAGACTCAGGCGTGCTTACAGGCGTGGCCACTTCTATTGACACCGGCTTGACCATGGGCGCAAGCACAGCTGTGGGCGATGCAGTCGATCTGCTCTTTGGTTTCTCAGACTCGTCCAGTTGCAATTGAAGTTGTGGCTTCGTCTCCGTGGAGTCAGTGGCATCTGTGGCCAGGCTGTTCTTGCGCGAGTTGCTCAATATGGTCTTGATGAGCTCGAGACTCTGGAGCGAAGGCGACTCCCCAATGCTCAGCTCGCTGGATGAGCGCCGCTGCTGCAGGCTGCCGTTCAGTCCAGCCAGCTCCAGCCGGTTGAGCGACAGCTGCGAGGAGCTGCGCAGCCGCAAACCAAAGGACGAGCCGTTGTGGCTATGCCTAGGCGACTGGAAGGAGTCGGTGCGTGCAACAGTAGGAGAGCTGCTGCTGCTGCTGTTGCTGCTGCTGCTGCTGCTGTGCCTGTTGCTGTTACCGTTGCCGTTGCTGGAGCAGCTTCGCACGTTGCCCGAGCCGTTGCTTATTGCTGCGATGCTAAAGTTGGCCAGGCGATTGGGCTTAGCCGCTTCGATTTGCTGCGGCTGCTCGGGCGCTTGGCGGATGAGCGTGTCCAGCCGCTGGTGCTGTATGATGGAGGACAGCTCGTTGACAACCTCGTTGCTCTTGGGCCGCTGCCCAAGCTGCCCCAGCTGCGCCCCGTCCGAGAAGTCCGGCGGCGGCGATATGGTACCCGCGTAGTTCCACGAGGACAGCGAAGTCAGGTCGCTGTTCGGGCTGCTGGGCGTCTGCGCCAGTGGTGTATCAGACAGGGGCGAGGGCTGCTCATCGTGTGCCGCTTCCAGCTGCTGGGTGGTCAGCAGCAGCTCCTTGACCTTGACAGAGCTCTTGCAGGATGTCTTAAAGTTATACACTTTGATGGCCTCGTCGTCCTCCTCGGAGCTGGACTCGATTGGGGCTTTATGAGCTGCCAAGGACTGCGCTTCCGGTTCGGGCGAGGGCGAGCTGGAGGGCAGCGGCGAGGGCACAGGCTCGCCAATGCCTGAGTCCGCCTGCTTGGAGGCCGCATCGTTGTTGTCCTCGTCCTCCTCCGTGGCGCTGCCCAGCGATCGAGGCTCCGGCGTGGGTGTGCGGTTCAACAGCACCTTGGACACGTTCTGGCTGCCATTGCTCTGCAGCTGGGGCGCCGTGCTGGCGGGCAAAGCCGGAGGCACTGCCTCCGCCTGCTGCTGCGGCTGCTGCACAACTGCGGCTGTGGGCGTGGCTACAGGAATGGGTGTGGTAATCCTAGGCGCTGGCTGCGGTATTGCCGGCAGAGCTTCCGTCATGGACGCCGTCGTGGAGGAGGCCAGCGATATGGTGTCTGCAGCTGCTGGTGCTGCCTCAGCTCCACCTTCAGCTGCAGGTCCTGGCGATTCTGGAGGCGGGGCTGGCGCCGTCTTCTTCTTCAGCTGCAGCAGACGCTTGCGCGGCGTCGGTTCCGGCAAGGCCTGAGAATAGGGCCTGCGCTCCAGCGTGGCATAGTGTCCGCCATCTAAGGTCTTGGCACTGTTGCCATTGCAGTCTAGCTCGAACGAGGGTTCCGCCTCCGTTTCAGTTGTCTTTTCCGGCGTGCTGGCCAAGTTGGGCGTGGACATGCACAGCTGCGGACGCTTCACAATGACCGCATAGGCGGGCTCCGTTGGAGTTGGAGTCGGCGTCGGCGTCGGCGCTGGGTTCTCGTTGAACTGCGCTACAGACTGCTCCGGTATGACCACCTGGCTGGGTGGACGTGGCGCGACGCGCTTCTTGCGTGGAGGCGGCGCCACGGCCAACGCCTTGGGCGGCACCACGGGCGTGCGCGTGTAGTTCATGCCCGTGGAGTCCATGGAGTTGAGCGAGTTGCTCGAGCTATACGGACTGGGCGTCTTGGCCGTCAGCTTGGAGTGCGAGTGCCGGCTGCTGCTGAACTCGGAGCTGCTGCTCAGCGAATCGCGTGTGCCGCCCGTGCGCTGAAACTTGAGCATGGAGTCCGCATTGAAGCTGTCATACGACTCCGACTTGTGGCACAAACGTATCTCCGACAGACCCACTGCACCGATGCTCGACTCGCAGCTGTACACCTGACTAGCATCCACTGTGGGAGAGATCATAGAGAGAGAGAGACAAAGAGAGAGATTGATTAGTTGAAAGTCTGTTCTCCATCGAAAGTCAGTTCTTAAGTAGATGTGCTGGAACTAGTCGTAAGTTAAACAGAGTGAAACGACTCGATTGGTTTAACTTTATTAAGGAGAATTTACTGTGCCTTTAGCTACTCAGATAAGCTAAACTCTAAGCCTGTGCTTGAATAGTTCTGTGTGTCATTATCACTTGGATTAGCGCCTAAAAACTGCCTCAGAAAAATATATTCTAGCATCGAATTGCCTAGCACAGATCAATACTGCAACGGGCAGAAGCAAGGACTGCCTCAGAGTTGAATGCAAAATGTATTTCTTAGGCTTAACTTCAACTTCTACTTCCACACGCGCTCAGCTTCCTTTTCCTTTAATTAGGTTTATCGAACTGATCAATATTTATCGATTGTTCGGTTACAGACGATTCATAGCCAGCATCATTTGAATTGCAGCTTTCTCTTGACAGAGCAGCTCGCATTTCTATATGCCAAGTGTATTTTTAGGTTTCTTTAGAACCTTCGAAATACCTATAATAAATCGATAGTTCGATAAGCAGAAGCAAAGCATAACTGACTTCCTTTTGACACGTTCTCTCAGACTTTCCTTCCTGTGCTCACATATTCTACACTCATACTAGGAGTAACTTTAGTATAATTCATGCAATTGTTGTTGGAGTTGATCGATAAATCGATCGTTATAGAAAATTCACTCCATATCCCATGCTTACCTGGATTGCGAAACTCATATTTATCGGCATCCAACTGTTTGTTGTCGCAGACCAGGGAGAGCAGCTTGCTGAGTGGCACACGGGCGCCCAGCCGCGTCACATACAGCTGATCCTTGGGCAGGAGCACGGTGATGCGGAAAGTCTGCTCGAACGGCGCATTGCTGGTGGCTGCGGGCAGAGGGGTGATGCGATTGTAATCCAGCTGACTAGCCTCGTTGATGTGCATGCCCTGGTCTGTGGACAGGTGGTGCAGCTGTGTGGTTGACTTTGACAGCTTGCCATTGGCGCTGCCCACGCTAGATTTGTCTACAAATTGAGAAGGAGAAAGAAGGAGAGACAAAGAGAGAGAGAAGGTAATGATCAGTTGTAGTCGGTATCACTCGGTTAGAGACACTTACCTTTTTTGCGGCCAAGCCAGCGATTGAGTGTAGTGAAGCCGCCCTTCATGTTGCTCATGTTGGGGCCAGGCTCGCTCGCTATTTCTCTCTCTCTCTCTCTCTCTCTCTCTATCTATCTATCGATTAGGCTGTTCTCACTTTAGTATTTGATTAAATTTGATTTTCGCTTCCGTTTCCGTTTCTGTTTTAACTGTTCGTTCGCTTCCTCTCGAATTCTTCCTCTTGTTGTTGTTGTTAATTGATTGATCGATCGATTAATCGATTATTGTTGTGATCGCTGTGCTTGTTACGCCCCTCTCTAGAATGTTTCGTAATATTTCTGAAGCATAATACAAAATGGCGTGCGATTTGTGCGCTGCGAAATCTGCAAGTAAGAAATCATTCGAATGCCTGATTACGATTACGTTCAAAGAAAATGAATATAAAAGTTTATAAGAAATATGCCAAGACGCCAGCGCTCTTATCAGAGGGAGGCTAGAAGCGCGAGAGAGAGAGCGAGCGAACGCCCATGAGCTGATAACAAATATCTCCTCTGCCCTCTCGCCCCTTCAGGCTCTACAGATAGACTTCAGGAGGCGGCGAGGGGCGTGCCAAAGCAGACGCCATACGCGCATTCCTTGTGTAATGAATGGCTTTCTTATCGTCTTATCGTCCCGCACACACACACACACACACACACACGCATACTAGACAAGTTCTGATAGCCATTGGATGTGCTCATGTCTGCTAGATAACCAACAAAAGCCATCAGCTGGAATGCGTAAAACTAACCTCAAATTTGTAGCTAACGCTAAAACGATGAACTCTATGTGCTGATAGTCGGATGATTATCAACTGAAAGACATTAACTTGTCGTAATATATAATCATAATACATGTGATAATGATAGCTTGCATTTTTTTATGCTACGCAATGGGCTAAGGCACACAAGCTACAGCTAAAGTTCATGTTAAAATAGAATTGAAATTTAACGCTAAGTTAAGGATTATCTAAAATTTAAGTTTAAGTAAAGGAAAATTAAAAGCTGCAGTTCAAATTAAACTTGAAGTCAAAGTAAATGTTACAGGTAAAATGTGACTTTTTTTAAGTTGAAGTTAAAAGTTCAGATTAAGCTGACAGGCTAATGTTCGATTAGACTTATATATCAAATTTAAAATAAAATTCAACATGTGAGCTACATTTGTAGTTAGTGCAATTTAACGCCAATGCTAAGGTAATGTCAAAGTCAGCATAAAAGGCAAAGTAAGCATTAAACTTAAAGTGCATAATTAAAGCTAAAATTCACATTAAGATTAAGGCTGCAGTCAACATTATAATCAAAGTCAAAATCGAAGTTGACGTTAAGATCAGAGTCAAGTCACAGTTAATTTAAAAAGTTAGTTAAAGTTAAAGTTTATGTTTACGTTAAAGTCCAAGTCAGAGTTAATTTCAGCTTTGAAGTAACAATGTATGCCAAAGTTCAAGCCCTTAATCAAATAAATAAAAATAAATAAATAAATAAAAATAAATAATAAATAAAAAGATAAATAATTAAAAAAAAATAATAAAAAAAAAATAATACTAATCAGTGAGGGCAACAATACTCAGATACGATTATATACGATATGGTTCTTATTCATGGAATTCACTTGGAATGCTTAACTAGGCACTTAACATTAATAACTTAATACTAGGGGAAGACATGAAGAGATTTCTAGCTGAGAGTAAAGAGATATTTATGTTCTGCGAATATGAATATTCAAGTATTATACAAAGCTAATATACCCGTCCACACATCTCAACTAACGCGGCGATTGCCAATCTCAATGGAAGATCAACTAATAAAGTATTAGAGATACATCTGAGGCTAATTTATTTAAGATAAATAAATGTTGTTAAGATAAACAAAACTTATTAAATAAATATATATTTTTAGCTGAAGGAAAATTTATTTTAGTTCGACAGCTCAAACTGGCCAATTTATGGACCGATTCGTATTGCTGAAGTCGTAAAAAACGTTTGCCTCCGGAGAACAAGCGCAATCGAGTTAAAGTATTTACAGCTCCCCAGATATTTGCATGCATTCATAAACAAATCAATTTATTATAATCATAAAGTTCTCCACAAAGAAAGATGTGTGCGTGTGTGTGTGTGTGTGTTAAGTCGCGAGCGAAGTAGAATGTTTGTGCTTGGCACACGATAAGCGTCGATAGGCGATCAGAGATGGGCGCGTGAAAATCGATAACGAGCCAAAAACTATCTAAGAAATAGTTTCTATAGTAATTATTTTCCACCTGATCCACCTGGATGACTTATCCAGCCTAAGATCTGTGTGCATCCATAGATATATATATATTTACAGTTAGTTTACTAGATGCTAGTTTGGCGTGCCTTTCGGCCCAACATATCTCATAGATAAGATAATATAATTCTTTAGATATCCAGGTAAATTCGTTGACTAACGCGTTGGTTTGCGTGACTCATTAGACATCGGTTATGCGTTGCTCGTGTCACGTGCAAGCACGCGACCATCTCTATCATCAATTAACCTGTGAAATTTGTTGCTATTTGCGTTAAGCTTAACGCCGATTGTCCTCTAAAATTATGATTAAGCGCACCCGCACACTCTGAAAGCCTGCCGACAGCACAGGCGACAAAAGCCGCGCGCGATTCGCACGCGTTTCTTGTCGCGCACATTTCATTTGCACCGAAGAAAGGGTGTGGGCGTGTGGAGGGGTTGCATGATTACCTGTTAGACAAGAGGAACGCGAGGGGTCGTCGATGGAAGCTTGTTTGATTGAATAATGACAATGTTCATGCGATATTATTGCTACAAACTTGCTGTTGTTGTCTACTCATTGGCCATGCAAATTACTTGCAATTGCAACAATAATGACAGCAACAACAACACCAATGCTCGACTCGGAGATACCCCATATGCACACTTGACTATATTCTATGAGATATGAAGTCAGGCCGGTTCAATAGATAGGGTATACAGCTGGTATATGCAAGCATATATATAGACAGAGAGATGGAGATATACAGATAGAAAAAGAGTTTGCAGCTCGTTTGAGGATGCGACATAAAGAGGAACTTGACAAAAATATATATATATGTAATATCAGAGACAGAGAGACACGTAGAGAGACAGGGGAAGAAAAAGAAAGTGGCAGAGAGAGAGAAAGGTAGAGAAAGAGAAAGAAACACAAATAGAGAGATAGATAGATAGAGAGAGAGAGAGAGCTAGACAGAGGACAAGGCATCTAAGAGGAAATCTATATCTTTTTAGAGAGAGAGAGAGAAATTGAGGCATATATGACTACTATATAAAGGATAGTAAGTAAGTGGATTACTTCGCTCGCACATATTGACTGCCCATGGCATATACCCCAAATATACTGTTGATCTATATATGTAATTGTTGCAGGGTATTTTCACTAACCGCATTTATATATGTATATGGCTAGTTGTGAGTTGTGTAATTGAGCCAGAGCACGTGCCCGACTTGCAGCTTAAATCTGTCTCACACACACACACACACACACACACACACACACACACACACACACACACACACACACGCACACACCCACACCCCTTCCCGTTTGAGTTAAGCACCTTGAAGCGTTTGTAAATCGATTTGGCTGCGACGAGTTGCTCCACTAATTAGCCCGACTATTAGCCAGGCTAATTAAAATTTACTCACTGTTTAGCTATTCGCTGGAATTGCTGTTTTTAATGCCTTAAGCAATGGAACCGAGCAAAGCCTTTGCCAAACAAATCGCATAGAGTTTTATTTCTGTTTTATCAATTTGTTTTTTACTTTTGTTAGCTCTTTTGGCTATTAAAGCACCTCAAGTATTCGTGTGTGAGAGAGCGAGAGGCAGCAGGTGGAGGAGGAAGAGAATCAGTTTATAGTCAGTTAGTTAAACTTGAAATAAATATGAGTAAGAAAAAATTCCTCGACTATCGCAGCAACAAAAGGCGACGACGACGTATAAAATCATCACGTTCCATAAACATGAACGAAATACAAATATAAATATATATATATATATATATATGTTTCTATATATAATATATTTATAATATATATACATATATAAGAGCTTAAAGACTGAGTGCTCCTCACCTAGTTAAGTCAGAATTTCGCTAAGAGGATTTTGTCATTTGCCGTAGCCGAGAACCGGATATTAGAATATTCACGCTCTATCCGAGCAGTCGAGTAACTAACTATCCATATCTACTTATCGTATCGTATATGCTGACAAATACTGTCACACGCGTGCTATATCTTTATAGGGTCTGATTCGAACGCAATTATCAGCAGTTGAAAGTTGCTCATTCATAACAACACAATCATATACTATAAAGGCATCTATATCTATATATATATACTGTGTACATTTTATATATGGTATATAGGCATCAGTTGATATAGTCGTATTCAGTTTGCAATTAGTTATTGACAGAGTAAACGCAATTCAAATGTTGTCCCATCATTAGATGAAAACGACTTCAGCTTCGTATGCTAATTCAGGTATATGGTATATGTGCATACTGGTCTATAACTGGGTATATATCTTTATTGAACCGATTATAAGCTTATCTGAAAGCTTGATAAGCTAAGAAAGAGTCGAGCAATCTGCTAGAGAAACGTTTGCGAATGACGCACAAAGAAGAGCAGAGCTCACAAAGAGCTTTAAGGATAGCGTGCCTGAAAGGGAATTCAAAGTGAGAGCAAGCACTTAAGGATATGGCTCGAAGAGGAGTCGCAAACAGAGCCCGAAAGACCGAGAGTAGAGCAGTTACTTAGCTGCTGGCTTAGTTCACATCAATTCAAATTAAAGACTGATGGGACTGATGGGGCTGACGAGGCTGATGGGGCTGACGAGGCTGATGGGGCTGATGTCACATAATTATCAAATCAAATTCAAGCAACTGCCAGTTGTGAGCAGCCAAAGGCCAAGTTAACAGCCAAGTCACGTAACCTATTAAAAATTCTACTTCTATTTATAAGCGCCCAGCCATTTATATAATATATGTAATATCTAGTATAAGAAGTACTGGAATTTGCGTAATATGCCCGTTTCTAGCTATATAATGAGGATGACCTTTAAGTTGTCTAATGATACTGGCGACTCCAGGGTCTGCGGGCATACAGATAGTGGCTGGGCCCATATAGTGCCCTTGCCGATATAGGTTTAGCTCTCCAGACAATGAATTTTTGAAGGGTGCCACGAATTACCGTTATAGCTGGCAATCAAATTGGCAACTTTCTACCGTTATGCATTGGCCATATAATTGTGTGCCTTAAAAATTTTAGCACATATATATATATATATATATATATATATAGTATGCGACGTTCCATTTCCCCAA